TACGTCATCCGCGCTCGCTCGGCGAAATCCAAAAAACCTCTTTCTGCTCGACTCGTTCTTGTTAGAGGGGTCTTCTCTTTCACCTACCTTCGTCTTGGCATCGAAAACTCGGCGTCGAAAATGAAGCCGGAGTGCCCCTCTAAGCTAGCCTGCCTTCCTTATGTATGCCTGGAATAGGTTGTGTTTCGTCAGGTTTTGACATGTTCCTTTTCTTCTCAGTATTCTCGTTCGCATAGTACTCCACTTCTATGATAATATTGCCTATGCTGTTGCTCATTAGGATTTTGGTGAATTTTATCCTTCGCTTTCATATTACTGGGCCAGGAACCGGTTTGAACTTGCGAAGTAAAATAAAATCAATCAATAAATCAAGTCCCGAAAAACGAGAAATTAGGTCCGAAAGTCATCCCGTCACGGACCGTGCCTTATAACTCGCGCAGTTCAACTTTGAACGTCGCAACGACTGCTGCATGTCGTGTCATACGAATCTGACAGGATTTTACAGCTCACCCCAGCCCTCCCAGCAAACCCTTACGTCCCGTGGGCGTTGCGTCGAATGTGAACTAGGCTTAAGGCACGGTCCTTGACAGGGTGACTTTCGGACATAATTTCTCGTTTTTCGGGACTTCTTTTCAATTATTTCTCCTTGAAAGAAGCGGAATCAAGTTCACAACACCAGTTCTCATGAAGACCAAAAAAATAGCCCTGAAAGTTGTGGCATTCAAAATAATAGCCCCAGGAAATGATAGAATAGTTCGTCTGTCACGCTTCTGAACTATCCCTAAATACAATAAGTGACATTAGATCTTATGTTGCTAAAATTTAACTCAAGTCGTGCTAGCCATTCTGTGAGTCATCATGAGAAACGCAGTGTTCGAAATGCTAAAGAATTTTCAAGTACGAAACGGGAGTAGTCGGCGCACGACGCCATCTCCTGTTCACACTCAAATTGCAGCCGTTTTGTACGCTTGCGTCCCCGGCTACGCCCGTCTACGGTAATAAAAGTTGAATCGATCCAACTCTTCCCGTCGCTTCCGATCTGTACGGTAGTACGTTGCGTTCCCGTTCCTGTTGTTCTCATTGGACGGCGTCCAGTCGCTTCCCGTCGATCCTTACGTTGCGTCCCGTCGCGCCCCGTCGAATGTGAACTAGGCTTTACTAGGCTCAACCAAACCCTTTGCGAGTAGTTGCGACTTCAACCTCGTCCATTTCCGGCTTGTGGAGACGATAAGCTGGACGTGACGGCGGCGGTGCACCCTCTTCAAGCCAAATCTCATGATCCACGGATCTTTCAGGTGGAAGTGCGTCCGGGAGTTCATCAGGGAAGACATCGGAATACTCACGAAGCAAGACAGCAACTTCGGGACTGTGAGGGTTGGGAATACTCAGAGGTGGATCAAGACCGGAGTCGTTCTCAGCTGTGACCCATGCTAGGAATCCTTGTTCGCCGTTTCTGAGCGCATGACTAGCCCGGCAGCCAGAAAAGAACATGTATTCGATTTGCGAGTCTCTGTCCTTGTCCTGAGAAGGTGCACTTGGCAAGCCATTCCCGTCCACGATTATGGCTTTGGTCCGGAAATTGATTCATGGGTTGTTCCTAGTCAACCAGAGCTTGCCCAATATCGCGTCGTAGCAGGCGAGGGGAAAGACGGTAAACTGCTGTTTCTCCTTGGAGTCGCTGACAACAACATCTATGGCGTTCGTGGTCTCCATAGCGTGTGAGCTCGTTTTTCCATCCGCTAATGTGACCTTCAGTAATTCTGATCCCAACTCTGTTGGCACCTTGTGCCTTCGGACGAACTCCTCAGAAATGAAGTCGTGGGTTGATCCACGGTCGATCAACACTGTCGCTGGACGGCCGTACATTTTGGCTTCCACCCGCAGTAGCTCGTTCTCTTTTTCAGCGACGACACTGCCGACGTGCGCTTCGCTGCTCTTCTAAACATGGTTTTTGGAATCAACACAACTAGTAGCTGTAGCAGCAGCATCCGCGACAGGCTCATCTTCTCCGCAATCGACTTCGTCAACCAATAAGTCACTGAAGCGATTCTTCTTGGTGATTGGAGCGGCTGCGGGACAGGGTGGTGCTCTTCTCAGCGCCAGTGATCGCACCGCTGTCACTGGCGTCCAGCGTTTGCATGGTGGTGAACTCGCGGGCAATCTCGGGCTAAATGTCCCTGCTGACGGCAAGCTAAACATCTGCCAACACTCAACAAGCGGGTACGGTCTTCTGACGACAGTCTGGTCGGTCTTCGGATGTTTGGCGATCCTGCAGCTATGCCTTCTGGTTGGTGTCGATTCTCGGCCGTTACGGTCAGTGCTGCTTGTATAGCCTTTGACAGTGTTGCCGGATGCTCCTTGAGCACTTGATACTGTCCAGGGCGCGCGGGTGTTCGTCTAGCTCAGGCACCTGCGTGCTGAGACGATTAAGGGCAGTGATAAATGATGCAACGGTGTCCTTCTGATGAGCACTAAAATAATAAATTCAACCGAATTTGCTCATCGCTGAAATGCGGGCTAAACACACTGCCTCGTGCATCCCTTAGCGTGGACCAGTTGATGTAGTGTTCCCCAGCCTCCATGTTCGAAATAAGCCATAGGCGGGCATTGCCCACAAGAAAAACTCGCGGCATAAGTAACTTCTTCCACCTATGTCGCAAATCCTATGACTTTTATATTATAGCTAAGTCCATGCTAAATACCCACTCCCGAAACAAATCTGCCTCACCGTGAAATGCTAGGGGCCCCTTGACATGGCGCTTGGTAATATTATCGCGAGGGTGTTCTCTGGTGCTTAGCCCTGGGCTGGATGGGACTTAAAAATGGTCTCGCAGGAGTTGGAGTGATGGCGGCCACGAGTCGTCGCAACTCTTGTAGAGCCAGGTACGCTGTCACGGCGATGACGGTCAGCAGGAGCGGAAGGCCACTAGTCAGGTCGATGGAAATCATCCTCTCTGAAACCAGTGTAACCGGCTACTGCAGGTTGAGGACAAGAATGATCTTTATTCGTACTGCACAAGGTTATATTATGAAGTAAAGGTGTCAACTAGATAGTCGGGATGGTAGTTGATAGGCCGAAGGGCGTGGATAGAGGGGATAGGAGTGTGAACAGCAGGTAACACTGTTACAAACTGCGTGTGTGCTCAACAAAATTATCATACAATTATTCATCATTTTTGTGGGTATACGTAATTTTGATCGCTATCGGATTGCTTTGATTCTTGTGTAAGCTAAGAAGAACATTCCGAGAAGCAGCTAGATATCTAGCACACATTTGCAAGACGGACACCATTGAGCACATACACGCAATCTCATATCATGAATAACACCTATCTGTGTCTTAGTAGGGGTATTATCCAGCACTAAAGTATGTTATTCCCCCTCCTACACCACATGCCCTCTCGGACCCAACAGGCCGAGACATGCCCAAAGCCACTGCTTACCATTTGTTTTGCTACAGAACGAACCCCAATATTGTATATGGGGTGAAAGGAATACATAATTTGTCTAACCTATCCTTGCAAGCCCCAGAACAAACATTCTGGCTGCACATATCTCACATATCGCACAAATCAATGCAATATTGTTCAGTATGAAGTGCATGGCGAGTCTACACCCTGCTGTTGAAATTTGCCGTCGATGATTCTTCCTACACCCTTGGCTTGGGTTACACGTGGAATGCAATATGTCCAGTCAGGTTGATTTCCAGCAAAACGAGGCAGGCGTTATGGATCATCAAATTCTACCGTTGGTGTTATAGATCTATTGTCACTACAAGTAGAAAATATGAAGAAATGGTGTAGGGAAAAATATGGATTCAAACAAGTTTTCGTACAACACTCATCAGGAATCGTCGTTGTACTAAAGGACACTGAAACAAAAATTAAACTTTTATAGAAAATCTAAGTTAGAGAAATAACACCAAGAGCAACAGCAGTGAAATTTACAAGTGTGAATTTTAACAATCAAAGCGAGAAATGAACAAAGGAGAAAGGAAGGAAAGACAATGTGATCACACATAACAGCAGTACATTACACCTAGAATATTAACGGCCAAGCTTGGCCGCACTAAACACGACACGTTACTTGAACAATTTCAGTCCAATTATACTATCTTTCTGTACACACAAATTAGGCTTATACAGTCGCTGATAGATAGCTTCCAACACTTTTAACTGTAGTCCATAACCATGACGACCACGGCACAATACAGTGAACGAAGAGTCGGAATACGAATTGCAACAATCAGGACTAGCTAGCAAATGATTGTACACTGAAGACTTTCTACCACGAAACTACAAGTATATGTATTGGTTTCGTGAACAACCGTCACATTCGCTTCACCACTAGCGTTCGTAGAAATTGGAATCCAAGTATGAATTATTTTTAATGGATACCAAACACTTCCTGCCATTTGCAATGGAACACTTAAAAATCCACGCCCTGTTGTCAATATATACCCACAGGTAGTATTAGTTTAGTAACTATCATGTTCACTCCTATACTACTCAGAGAAGGCCACACTTCAGGCTCTTTACGATCATTTTGAAAGTTGTCGGTTTCACAAGTGTAAGCCTAGTCATCAGGTGACATACAGGTAAAGGGAAAGGTACACGATTAGTGGATTAAGTACAATAAAGACGTAATATAACAGCGCGAAGAAGAAGATAGCTAAAATATACAGCCAAAATGGGTGACCTATACACATAGCAATAATGGCACAGATGTGCATGTGCGAGAAAACCCAAAAAGCGTGGCATGTGGTGCGACAACAAGAGACAACCAATGGACATAACAAGCGAGTTTTGACGACCTATCTAACAGCTTTTAAAAGTGTGAATCTATTTTGCTTCCATTAATTTTGCAAAAGCAGATCAAAGGCTTGAAAGTATACTTGTGAAACCGAAAACGTTCAAGATGTTCGTAAAGAGCCTGAAGTATGTCCTTTGCTGAGTATCAACGCATTCCTGTCTCAGAGGGAAATGTTCACTACTGCTCACCTTTGTCGAAGTCCCAGAAAACGCATTTGGCTTCACCAGCGGACTCCTTAAAATAAGAAGCACAAACGGAGAAGGGACATGGTAGTTACAACTTATTGCTTCCTTAGGTGTGTCAATGCAGACTTCAGGATAGACGTCATGATGGTTTGTCCCTTCAGATCATATAGAGTATTTGAAGTACTCCTAATTTCTTCTAATTAACAAACATAGTGGAGGAGAAATTTGAATCTTTCACTATGCCCTGGTCCAGTAAAAAACCGCGGTTTGCATGAGCTCTGCCTGGGGGCTTAGTCCGCATTCGTAGGAACACCACTACCCCCAAAGATAAAGGCGCGGATGTCGTTCCTAAATCGAAGGAAGGCGATTGGATAACACCCACTAAGGAGATTATCAATCATAATCACCTAAAAACATTTACTAATCCAATAGACTTGCAACATTCAATTGACTTACAGCAGGTGTTACACCCAATAAATCAAACGACATTATTGCCGGCTGCTGAAGATTCTCCAGACGTTCCTCTCCAACTTGGGCGCTGATAATCTCTGATTGAACAGATGTGTTTGCACTCAGATTGGAATCTCGGAACAGTGTCTGAGTTTTGTACAAAATGTAGCGTGTTGGTGCCACATTGCAAAGTGAGTCATTTCCCAGAGATAGTAACTCTGTTGCGGCAGCTATAGTGCTTCCAGTTATGTCAAATGCGACACCGGTAGTGCTGGCTGTAGTCGCAGAGAAAATGAAGGATACAATGAGAAGAACAATTGTGCAGAATAAGGCTATGGGTGCCGAAGAATTGATCTAGATGACTAAACGTATGCGGGGAATGGGATCTAGGCTAAGTTCGAAATCCCATTTGCCATACCCATTTAAACCAGACGCAGTCAACAGAATAGGATAGGAATTTATACATCCGTGCCATACCATAGGATTTGTCATAATCTCAGGGAATTATTATACTTCGTAAAACATACCAGAAGCGGGTATGTCTACGTCTCCAACATAGAAACTTCCATCTTTGGTTTGTCCCGCTGAACGGAATGCTTGGTCTGTTACATCCTCCTTTGGGCAGCTGATTGCAAATCCAATATTCTCCTTTTGCTCCTGGAAAGGCTGATCAGTCTCTACAACCAGTGACGTCACAAGTCGCTCCATTGCCTTTGCAATCCTGGATAAACATGACAGGAAATTATAATGATATCATGCATATAATGTATGTACATTACCAGGCACACAAAAATAAAAATCTCTTTAGGGAGAAAGATCTTCTTGCAAAAATAGGAACGGCACCAATTGAATAATGTGTCAAAGAAATCGATCGGGATAGATCTATCTGATGGTCAGTGATGTATTGACACAAGAAAAGGAGACAGAACTACAATAATGAAATACCTTTTTGCTGGTGATGCTGCTACCACAGTTTCATTCGTATTCACTTGCAGAATGTTGTCGACAGTGTCCAAGGTTGACACAGCAACCTGAGAAGCAGGACAATTGAAAGATGTGTGCATGAGTGAAAATTACACCAATTACACCAGGCATCGTAAATCCTCTACATTGATACTACCAAGAGGGACCTGTTTTACCCATCTTGCTACGTTCAGAAGGGAAGATTTTGTTCTTTCAATATTTTTTCAAGTTGTATTTTAAAATACTATTCATGAACTCACAAGCAAGATGCCAGCGTGTTGCGTCGGAGATCTCAATCTTAGGCATTGATATGTCAAAGGCATTTGACACTATATCAAGGGTCAGGCTGATCGATATACTGTCAACAGTCATTGATCATGATGAGCTGCACATCATCCAGTGCCTTCTGACAGACACCACAATAAAAGTAAAGCTGAATAACATTCTCAGCCAACCATTAGTCACACACAATGGAACCCCACAAGGTGATTCTCTATCGCCAGTCCTGTTTACTGTCTACCTCGAGGCTGCATTGAGGTTGATTCGAGAGCGACTCTCACCGCGACCAGCATTGGATATTCAGCTTCAATTGCCCAATGAAACAGCGTATGCGGATGACGTAGACTTCATCAGCACCAGCCTACAATATTTGCATGACAATCAACCCATACTATCATCCTCGTTAGCGGAATACAATCTAAAAATGAATGAAGCCAAAACCGAATATACTACAATTAAAAGAGAAAAGGACAGAGTAGACGAGCGATGGCGGAACACGGTCAAACTAGGATCGATGCTTGGAGTGGAGGAAGATATCAGTCGGAGAAAACGTCTAGCAACATGCGCCTTACATCAGCTGTGGGTGATATGGCTAAGAGGTAACCATGCCCGTGAACCCCTTCGGATTAGGTTATACGGCAGCTTTATTCTCCCAATACTTCTTTATAACTGCGGCACATGGAGCCTGACAGAGACTCAAGAAAAGAAACTTGACTCGTTCCACCGCCAGCAGTTACGAGCAGTCATAGGGGTCAAATATCCCCGTATAATACGCAATGAAGCACTGTACAAGCGCACTGGCTCCAAGCCACTCAGCAGAATCATCCAGTCTGCTAGGTGGAGAATGTTTGGCCACATGCTTCGACTAGACACCTCATCCCCGGTCCAGCAGGCTATGTCGGCATACTTTCAGCCAGGAAGCTCAGGGTTCCGAGGCCGCCCGAGAACAACACTCCCGCGATCCATCAACAACGACCTGAAAAATTCCAGATCCACAAACTCCCTCACATCACACGAGGATCTAGTTGCACTGAGGCAGCTCGCCCAGGATCGTCGAAAGTGGAAGGATCTAATGTGTGCTGTGTGTAATGGCTGAAGTTATACAATTACACTAGATACCCTTAACAATAATAACGGATACAATTACACTAGATACCCTTAACAATAATAACGGATACAATTACACTAGATACTCTAGATACTAGAGACTCGGTACTCTAGATACTAGATACTCTAACAATTTTATCAAACATTATGATAATTACCACATCAAATGCTGCGGAGACCTATCCAGAATCGGCAATATGCTGGCCCTGGCCTGGAGATCTGCAACTATAATCAGCTTCTACTTTGCAACACTAACGGATTAGTCCCCTTTGTCGATTGATGGATCAATCGGTAGATTCGGCTCTGTTTTTCTTCCCTTTCTTTCTTGTTTTGAATTGTACGTTGAACTCATTGGATTTCTTTGTATTCTGTATCTCGTTATCGTTATATTTCCCTCTAGCCCTCTCGCTTAGGATGAGCTTTCTTTTTTATGGCAGCTTAAGCGAAGGCTATATACCTGCTTTATGCAGGTTGATGCCAACGCGAACAAGCAAAATAATAAATAATAATAATAATAATAATAATTCATGAACTTGCCGACTATAGATTTCCACATGTGTCGGGAAAGGCATAAGGTAGTTTGTATGTAGATAAAATGGCAAACAAAATAATGGGACAACATAGGCTTGGGAAAACATAAGCATGGGACAACATAAGCATGGAACAACATACGCATTGGACAACCAAGGCATGGGATTGTCTGGTATGAACTACAGCTACAGCTGCCTGCTGATTGCTATTTGCATCAGTTTTGAAGTAGCAGAAACATTCGCCAAGGTCGAAACTCCTAGGTTCGGATTCGCCAAGTTGATTATAGTTCTTTTGCAGGTGAGTTATTGGTATAACATTCCTAACCTTCTGCCCTATGGATTGGTTGAACACCTCATCCTTACTGACAGCCGTGACCAGATTGAAGATAGCTGTCGAGGCAAAATCGATGTCATCGCTTGTCAGCTCAGTACTGTTGTTAGTTAAGTTAGCGACAGACAGTGAGCTGCTCAGAACCGATTGCGGTTCGCTGGTGTTGAAATCAACCTGCATTTGTAGATAAACATGAGAAAGAATAAGACATGTACATCATTGCAGGGCAAACGTCACAGAGAAAATCAGAGTTCTTCTCCTGAGTGCAAGCGCCAACTTGTTAGTGTGTCATTTAGGCCACTCGAAGTTAATTCTATGTTTGGAGTCGGATATTGCCTGGAAAAGGGACACGGGCGGGCGAAAAAAAAACAGTGAAAAAAAAAAACCCATTTTATGCGTGCAGGTGAGCAGGCCCAGCCCCAAGTCTTGGAAAAATATGTAGTTTCATCGCTCGCACCTTCTACGCACCATCGCCTGGCATGCAAGAGTATTGAGAAGTTGAAAACCTCTGATCTACCATACTGGCTAGAGAATGTTCGCCATAACAGGCATCGGTTGACTCGTCTTGGTTCTTCTTGTTCTTCTTCTTGTCAATGAGTCGAAAAGGTACGCACACGGTTACAGGAAACATATAAGAAACTTGGCGATACCGAATAGGTATCTAATAGTGAATGATTAGCCGTGTAACGGATGAAGGTGAAGCACAGTCTTTTTACGAGGTTAATTTGTTTCCTAAATGGAGCCAGCTCGTTCTCATTGTTAGATTCACAAATGATGACAAACCAAAGCATGCCTTCCATTACCAAAAACCGGAGTCTAATAAACGTAGCCAGTCTATGTCTGAAGAGTGAAATGTGCAGGATTATTCGACCGTTTAGGTGCAGCAAAAATCAATGGGTTTCATTGCTAAGAGAGTGATACAATTAATAATACTTGCTTGCACTATCAGCCATTTATCACCCTTAAACGTCAGTCATGAGCTGCAGAACTGCCCTCTACCTTTGCAAGTTTCTGTAGCTTTGCTGTGCCTGGAGTTGGACAGTCTGTGATATCTGGTTTTTGCCATGTTGACATCACCAAGGATACGTTGTGAGGGCGTGACGTAGGTATACACCGACGGGTTGCATAGCGGATGATACCATCAGACAGTTCCACGGGACACAGATGTGTTTCTAGTTCATTCGCAAAAGTCTCAGTCCAGTAAAACATTCCACGTCTTGCTCCATCAGTTACTTCTGGACTGCAAACATCTGTTTAGAAAAGTCACCAAAAGCAGAAACTGCTGTAGATGCCATATTATTCCAAGCATAAACTTTCGTTTTAAGTTACGTAATGTTTCACCATCGTTGGTATGAGCCAATCAAGTCAAGAACAATTTTCAAATTCAGCCTTTGTATCATGGATATACTTATCATTTGCACTATAGGGTTATCTATTCAAGTGTCAAGTCGGCGGAATAGGGCGAATAGCGCTCGCGGAATAGCGCGGGCTCTAGTGTGTAGTAGTAGTAGTAGTAGTAGTAGTAGTAGTAGTAGTAGTAGTAGTAGTAGTAGTAGTAGTAGTAGTAGTAACAGGGCCTCTTTTACGGGCAAATGACGCATATGCGTAACCCAAAAGCAACAAGAACCTCAATTAACAATGTCCAACAAAAGAATCTGCAGACTGCAAAAAAAAAAAGGACACAAGGTAAAACTCAAGTCCAATAGATCGCGTATGGTACGTATGTGTGAACAAACCAAAAGCCGATTGAGTGGTGAATGTGTAATGTGTAAGTTGAAAACTCAAGTCTGATAAATACCCTATTGGGGGTATATGTGTAAAAACATCATAAACCAATAGGGTGGTAGATGTATAATTTGTCTGCGTGTGAATGCTTATTTCGATCTGTCCGATAAACAAAACAAACTATTATAAAAGTAGAAACAAGAACAAAAAAACAAAGACATGCACAAAAACAGATATGTCCGTTACGTCACAACATCCGTTTTAGGATCTGCCACACAGCCCCATGCCACTACCGGAGCAGCCTGCACTCCGTGACAAACGAATTGCCACGGCGTACGCCCCGAGCTCCCCAGCATCCACGCAGACAGGTTACGGCCCAGCGGAGCAGACAAAAGGTAATCTTGGCACGAAGATGGTGCATGACGACGGAGTACTGTAGGTCAGAGTGCTTCTCCACCACGCGCTGAACAAGCCGCTTCAGGAACATTCCGCACGCTGCACCAGCCATGCCATTCGTGGCAAACACCAACGGAGTGAAGGCACCTCGCTCGACGTCCGTGATCCTCTGGCAGTATTTCCGCTTCTTCTCCAACTCGTTGGTGCGCAGTTGGCCAAGGGCTTCCGAACGCGACAGCAGGGACGCTTTAGGGTGGGTGACGCTGACATCAAAAAAAGCGTCCTGCTGCCTTGTCCAGAAACCCCCTGCCCTGTTGTCCAAACGAGCTTCAGCGCTGGGATTGGCGGTCCGGCCGGCGAGCACCTCGCCATCGAGAGGGAGCAATCTAGGCTCGACCTCCACGTCCGGCACGACATCGCCAAGGACAGGTGCCAGGGTATCCCGGATTTCGTCGTGACGTGCCATCGGGTACCCCCCATGTGGACACGTCATCGAGTGGTGTAAGGTGGTGTCCGCTCCACAAGCGCATTTGCACGGGACATCCAGTGGCAGGTACCCATAGCGTATGCACACCGCTTCTCGAAAGTCGGACTGATTCAGGATTGTCCAGTGCGCAGTAAGCGGGGCACACGTCAGCCATGACGACACGCCCTTCTCACCGGCGATATTTGTGAGGCATTGCTGAGGCGGGGCAGATCGGGATACAACGCCGCGACTAGTGCCTTCTGCGACTTCTCCTTGTCCTTGCGACATGAGACTGCTTGCTTGCGGGACTCGGTAGCGGCTGCGACAGACGGGTTATCACGAACCGGCTGGGTGGTGTGGACCCCAGGTTCTGGCCGGGTCACAGGTCCAGGAGGATCACGAACGGACGCAGCAGAAGCAGAAGCAACTGACCATGGTGGATTCTGAGGCGATGCCAAAGACACCTCCTCGCCATCGGGCATGGCACTCCCCGAACCATCACCAATCATCAGACGTATAAGCGGCTCCGTCACCGCAACAGAAGTGGAATACTCCCGCTCCGCCTCAGCCGCCAGAATCGGGATGTTTAGGCCTCCAAGGCGGTTGGGCACTGAGAGGAGTCGCCGAAGGCTTGCCTCATCAGGCACCTCCCGACCCAAGAGGAGGGGTAGCAGGTCGCGGTTGACCAGGGTATCCAGGCGCTCTAGTAACGCAGGCGGGCAGGATGCCACTTGGAGCACGTAGCGCCACTTAGAATAGACACCCTGCAGCATGGCGTAAACTGCATGAGGCTGAGTACGGGCCACAGATACCAGGTTCACCACCTGCCTGCACCAGGCGGATACCGCCTTCTCAAGGTCCGCGGCCTTGAAGCTTCCTGTGCCGAGCACTCCTCCCAGATATCGACAACCGGAGGTTCTGATTTTGATGCCGGTGCCGGCGAACAGGGTGGACGCCTCCTCCAAACACTTCTCCTTGACCAGCAGCACCGTTTTCGTTGGGTTAGGGGTATATCCGTAGGCCGGGCCAAGCTCCTTCACACTGTTCCAATAGCGTAACAGAGACCGGACACGGCCAGCAGCGGAATCGTCGTCAGCGTACCACTCCTGCACGATATCGGGGCAGAGCTCTCCCAAGCAGCGTATGAGAGGCGTTATGGCCACAGCGTATATTCCCATCGCCAAGGGATCGCCCTGACAGGTACCCTCGCGCGACAGCACTTCGCCACCACCAGCAACAAACAATCGGCTTGGTGAACGGTAGGTGTTGTGGAAGATCTGGCCAAGCGGCGGGCAGACCACGGGTACATTATGCATGGCGACGGCACGGTTCAGCGAGTTGAAAGCGTTCCCTGCGTCTACCAGTAGGATCGCCTCAGTCGCTGGTTGCTCAAAGAGGTGCTCCATGGCATGTACCGCAGCCTCGCAGCCAGATGGGACACCCGCGCACAGCTGCAGAGGAGCCGTGACAATGAGCATGTCAGGCTCTATCACTCGGGCGACAGCCTTGCAGACGATCCTACGGAACACCTCACCCACTGCGATTGGCCGCACGCCTGGGTTCTTATTGAGCGGAATCAGCCGGGCCGCAGTGAAGGCTGCCAAGGAATCCGGGTCAACATCCTCCCTGCACAGAAGCCTGGCGGTCTCCGCCATGGAAGAAGCCAGCCGGTTCGAACAAGTTCCGTAGCATGTTAGCATTCGCTGCCAAGCCTCTGCGTCAAGGCCAGACGGGCTGGATGAGCCGGACATCTCGCGAGCTATGCGTTTAATCAAGGCGGGTGTCACCCTCTCGAACAGAATGGGATCACATTCAGGCCTGTCCGCCGCATCCACCAGAACGCTCGGGTCAGGGCTAGCAGGTAATGTGTGCTTTTCGAGAAGTGCATCTCTCACGGTCTTCCCAGTGTCGGCGTCCATGACCTCATCCATCGCCAATACCCCACCGGACGAGGCTGATGAGGCGAGACGAATGGCCGATTGTATTCTGCCGGAGAAGACCAGCTTGCTGAATCTCATATCATCAATTTGCCCATCTGCCTCCCGAGGCCCAGAGTCCCGAAGAGGGGGCAAATGTGCCTGGATGCACCGTCTCTCGCGCAGCAGCTCACCAATCCGCCCAGATTCCCATAGGCCGAGACGCCGATCAAGGTGCGGTGCCGAAGCCCCGTACTGGGTAGCACATGGCTTCTGTAGGAGCAACTGGGAAGCCACGACCACAGCCGCCCAGGCATGCCGGCGCGCTGCACCACCAACAGCAAACGAGTGCATGAGGTCAGCCAGTAGAGCCACAAACCGCCGACCCACGGCTCCATGTGGCACAATAAATAGATTCCGACGCCACGTGATGACCTCCTCATATGCCCTGAGAACAGACTCAGTAGTAACAGCAGCACCAGCAGCAGCAGGATCCGGTCCCGGATCCGGCACAGAACCACGTGCACCAGGGGCGTTAGAAACCGGCTCTGATCCAACAGCAGAGCGCGGTGCCACATCCGGGGCTCCAGGCCACGGAACAGGCTCCAAAACTGGGGCACTGTCATCCCTCGAACTGGGATCCCTGGAATCACGGCTGGGGACATTCATTGCCGCAATGGAGACAGCAGCAGCTGCAGCACCATCAACACACCCGGCGTGCGATGGAGTGGAAGCGCCACGCACAGGGCCATTAATGGGTCTCAATCGGGGCGAAAGTGCACGACGGCTACGACCACGGCGTCCCGGTACACGAGCCACCGGAGACCCGGAGGCCGACCCATCCCGAGCATGACTCCTGCCCCTTCCGACAGCGCCAGGTGATGAGCGGCACCGCCTGCCCAAAAAGCCTGGCCTCTCAGGAGATCTATCCGAATGGAATGCTGGATTCGGATCTGCAACCGGCACAATCGGAATCAGCTGAGCATTACCAAAATTGCGGCACCTACCCGCGCGACCAGGGTAGCAGCTCTCGCAGGCCCTGGCCGACACAGCACACGAGCAGCCACGGCAGTTCCCAGTCGACTTGCTGCACACACAGCATGGCTTCGATCCACCAGCGGGTTGCGACATGCTACCAGAGCGCTAGAGTAGTACTAGTAGTGGAGATCGATCACAACGGCACAGTGCACACGGTAACCATGCACACGGTAACCATGGCGAGAAAGCTGATTAGAAAGCTGATCCGACGCGCTCCACAAGCTGGAGATGTGTGTGCGAAGCCACCCGCCACCACTGGGCGCGATGAGCTGCGACACCAGCAAGGCAACGCTGGTACTGTAATACGGCTGGGACTAGAATATTCTAGAACTTTCGCAAAACTCTCGATGCTCTCCAAGTCCCTAACTGAAGGGACTTCCGCTGAAAGGATAATGACCAGGCTAGATAGCTAGCACGCTAGATATCGACGAGCACCGCAAGCCAAGGAACCGAGGGAAATGCACACTGGGCACTCAAATTCAAAGAACACGGGAGCACTGAAAAGTGCATCCACCTCCGAGCACCTTAGAAGTAGTAGTAGTAGTAGTAGTAGTAGTAGTAGTAGTAGTAGTAGTAGTAGTAGTAGTAGTAGTAGTAGTAGTAGTAGTAGTAGTAGTAGTAGTAGTAGTAGTAGTAGTAGTAGTAGTAGTAGTAGTAGTAGTAGTAGTAGTAGTAGTAGTAGTAGTAGTAGTAGTAGTAGTAGTAGTAG